AAAAGGCAGGAAGAGCGGGGAGAGAAATGGGACAAAAGTTGGAGGGAGAAGGGGAGAGGATGGGGAAAGGGTTTGGGGAGCCCGGAGGTGGAAAAAAAATGTTTTTCTTTTCTACTTTCATTTTCCTGAAACACGGGAGAAAGTCCCGAAGTGTTGGGAGGAGACGGCGGAGCTGAGAGCATCGGGCTGAGAGCGAGTGAGTGATGGGGAAACCCTTTGGGAAGAGCTGGAGCATCGATGGTGGCACCAACGCGTCCCACCACGATGGGTTGCGGACGGTGGGGACACCGGGGGGGGCGGGCAGACTGAGCCCACACAGCCAAGTGGGGATGGGAAACTGAGGCACAGCCCTCCCTGCTCCACGTGGAGCTGGGGACGAGGTGGGAGGTGCTGCTGGAAAGGTTGATTTGGAGAGAAAACGTGATAAAATGTGATGTGGTGAGGACAGGATGCTGAGACTGATCGGTGTTCCTTGGAGGAGAGATCCCAGCTCCTTACAGCAGCCCTCAAAATGTGCCCTGAATTTATGAATCGTAAATGGCACTGTCTTCCTGGAGGCATCAATCTCCATCATAGGCAGAGGTGTTTTTGGATCACACGGTGTCGGTGGCATGCAGAAATTGCTGATACTGCTCTTCTGCAAGGAGCAAAGGCAGAGGGACTTTTTGCTTTCTGGGTGCTTCAAAACAAAGTGGCATTGCTGCGGAGCACGGAGTGCTCAGATACACCGTCTTGCCCGTGAGGTTGGCATGAATGTGCCTAGAACTGTACAACTGTGGTTGGGTAATGGTGGGATGCAAGTTTAGATGCATTCTGGCAGACTTTGAGTGTTAATGTGATCAGGCGTGCTGAGGAACACATGCAGAGAGGATGCTGTGAGCCCCAAACACGCTCAAGCAGTGCCTTGTTGACTTTGTCATCACTCAGGGCATAACATTAAACTTTGGAAAGCCCTTGCAGGGGAGAGAAGGGGAGTTTTATCATTAATTCTTGTGTTTCCAGTCTTGAGGTCTGGAAGCTTGCAGCTCCTGAGCTCATGGTCTGCAGTACCACCAACCAACAGGGGAAAGCTGGGCAACCTTATCTCCAACAGCTGCTGAGCTCTGTGCTGTCCCACCCAGGATTAGGTTTATCTTTTCCCCTCAGGCATGCCAAGGTAGCAGGGATGGTGCCAACCAGACCCATGTTGTCCTCCAGGAACTGTCCCTGGTCCTCGAGTTGCGTTGCTGGATGTGGTGTCCTTAGATGGGATACCCCAAAAATGCTTCCAACATCCTGCTCCACCTAAACAGCAGGCTGATGGGGGGTTGGGGAGCACTTCTTTGAACTCCCCTGTACAGAAAAAGGGGTTTGGATGTGGGGGTTTTTACTTGGAGTCTTTCTTATCACCACCTTGGTGTCTCGTGGCTCTGTCTCATAATGAGATGTTAATGACGAAGGGGAGCCAAATGCAGGAGTTGCTGATGAATGTCTTTTAGATGAATCCGGATGGTGCTGCGTGCAAAGCCACAAAGACATCGCAGTTTTGAGGATGTGGTGGTCAAACCAAGGGCTGTGCTTGGGGTGTTCCACGGTTGGCGAGAGAAGGAAGGAAAATAAATTACGTTTAGGAAAAAGAAAATAGGCAGCAAGTCAGAAGGATTTGGAGAAATTTGGAGCTGTCTATAAGGTGGGCAGTTATTTTGGTTCCCTGGTATCATTGCACACAGCGTGCGTTCTTCCCATTTACAGCAAACTGGAGCTGAGGTGGGGGATGATTTGCACTTTGTTTGGATATTTCTGCAGCTCTTTTATCCCCGTAACATTTTTGTGCACTGGGGGCATGTCGTAAACACCTGACAGCATTGTAACTCATGTTGAACAGCCTCATCTCTTCATCTCAATGGAGATGTGGCTTTGGTCTCAAAGCACACCACGCAGCTGATTGAATCTCATTGTCATCTTCTCCTACAAATGGTTCTGTTGGCATTCTTGGCATCAAAAATGGTTGACCTGCAGGTGTGCTGGTTGCTCCAGTCTCTGCTTTTCAGGTTTATTGCATCTGGGGTTAACAGAGGGACAGTCAACAGCTTGGGGAAGGCTAGAAGGGACAGTTTCTTCCCTATCCCCATCCTCTGACCTGTGAGGCTTTCACCTCCCAAAGTTGGTTGGTGCCCTCTCTTCCAATGTGAAACACGCAGTGCAGTCATGAGCTGTGTGAAATTTGTTTCTTCTTTTCTGCTCAACCTTAGCTCTTTATTACTTGGTCAAAGATTTATTAGGTGGCAGTCTTTAAGCTCAGCCCTTATTCACCCTGCTGGTAGGCGTTTTCTTCATGCATTCTCAAGGTGTAGGTGGGGGTTGTGGCACTACAGTTGGTTCACAGAGCGATTTATCTCAAGGGCTGTTGATTTACTGGACATCTCTTGCAACAGAAAGGGTTTTGTCTGATAGAAGTTCAACCCTTTCCTCCCTCCCCTCTTATTGCAGCCTTCTTCCAAGGAAAAGCAGAGCAAAGAGGAGGGGAAAAACTCTGGTTCCGATTTCCCAATGTCCCTGTTGATGTTCTGCAGCCCTTCAGAGCACAAACCCTCAGCGCCCATTAAAAACCCATTTGCCCATTGAAAAACAGGCGTCAAGACTATGGAAAACCCTCCTAAGAATCACCAAGGGTGGAACCCAGTGCAACCTGGGATGCACTGAGATCACTGGTGCTGCCTTTCTGTTCACGCACCGCATCGCCTCACAGCCCAATTTCTCCCTCTTTTTGGGAGTAAGCATTGCTCCAGAAATTGTGGGGTTTAGAAATGCAGAATGTGGGTCATCACAGCAAGGAAGCACATGCAGAGCTTCACCTGTTGTGTAAGGAGGATGTAAGAGGGTTTCCTGATGTTTTGGCAGCTAATTTTTTTCTGACAGAAGACGCACTTAGAGAAGAATTAAAAACCCCTGATTGACAGCTTGCTTAAAATAAAACACGATGGCTGCATTTTCTTCTATTTCTCTGCTTAAACCACAGGTTTCTTTGTTCTTCGTCGTGGCAAACAGAGCTTTCTTCCTTATTGTCACTGTTTGGCATCGTAAGCTGAATCTTCTTTCATCTTTTCTCCTGCGATGAGGATGCTGCGATGATGCTCTGCGAGAGGCAGCGATTCACTCTGCTCCAGGATTTAGCTCTGCCCTCAGCTGAGCCACAGATGCTGCGGAGAGGTTGCCAGGGATGCAGACACAATCCTACCTCCAGGTTTTTGCTGCATCCCCGCTGCTGAGCGAGATATGGATCATACCCAGGATTATCGCCCATCCGACTGGAAGGAAGGGATGCTGAGATGTCGGGTTGCGAGGGAGATGGATCTGGGTGCCAGGTTTTTGTGCTGTCTCGGTGCCGTGGGGTGGGAGTGGGGTGTGGGGACCCCCCCAGTGATGCGGGGTGCGGGATTTTTCAGTTCTGGTGCTGATGCTGTGCTCATGGTGAGGTCTCTGTGGCGCAATGGACGAGCGCGCTGGACTTCTAATCCAGAGGTTCCGGGTTCGAGTCCCGGCAGAGATGATCTCCAGGCAGGTGTCTCTTTTATTTTATGTGTATTCCTCCATAAATCCCAATCCTACTCCTTTATAACACCCCAGAAGGCTTGAGGTGGGAGATGATGACTTTTCACGGCGGCGTTTCGGCCGCTGATGCTCGTAGTGGTTGTGTGCTCCCCATCCAAGGTGTGTTTCTTCCACCACATTCCCCTTCCCTCATTTCTTTTGGTAGCTCCTGGATGCTTTGATGTTTTAACCCTATTTGTTCCCCCAGTACGGCTTGTTGGACCTGTGTGATGCTTTAAGAAAAGTGCTGTGTTTCCAGTAGAAATCCAATGGTCAGGCAGTGGTTTGGAACCTTGTGTTGATATTTCATTTATTAAGTATGGCTTATCTTTCAAATATATGGACAAAGGGAAAACAACAGTAGGTCAATATTCTGAGTTCTTACCTTATGGAAATCTTTTGCAAATGCTCTTCTTTTTCACGTTTTCATGTTGATGATGCACGTTTGCTGGCAGCCACCTCTATATCCCCGTGGAGGTTCATCTTTGTAAGTAGTGAACGTTGACAAAAAGACAAAGATCCTGACCCTACGGTAGAGTTTCTTCCCACTCTGTGACCTTTGAAGACTTTTCTCCACTTGAAGAGTGGGTTTCTTTCCATTCGTGTCAGCATAGAATCTCTTTCTGGGAAGGCTAAGAAATAATGTGCGTGACGTCACGGGTTGGATGTAGATGGAGCTCAAAACAGTGGGGAAGGAGGGCAGCAAAAGCCTTACGTGAGGAGGTTCCATCACAATCCCACAACAAATATCCCACAATTTCTTAACATGAGCCAGCAGTGTGCCCTTGCAGCTCGTAAGGCAAATGGGATCCTGGGCTCCATCAGAAGAGGGGTGGCCAGCAGGGACAGAGAGGTGATTGTTCCCCTCTACTCTGCTCTTGTGAGGCCCCATCTGGAATACTGCGTCCAGGTCTGGAGCCCCCAGTACAAGAAAGACAGGGAGCTGTTGGAGAGGGTCCAGAGGAGGGCCACAAAGATGATCAGGGGACTGGAGCACCTCCCCTATGAGGACAGGCTGAGGGAGCTGGGCTTGTTCAGCCTGGAGAAAAGAAGGCTGCGGGGTGACCTCATTGCAGCCTTTCAGTACATAAAGGGAGCCTACAAAGAGGAGGGGAATCAACTCTTTGAAAGGGTGAGTGACAGCAGGACAAGGGGAAATGGTTTTAAGCTGAGGGAAGGGAGATTTAGGTTGGATGTCAGGGGGAAATTCTTTACGGAGAGAGTGGTGAGGTACTGGAACAGGCTGCCCAGGGAGGTTGTGGATGCCCCGTCCCTGGAGGTGTTCAAGGCCAGATTGGATGGGGCCCTGGGCAGTCTGGTCTAGCATTAGGTGGAATGGTGGTGGCCCTGCATGTGGCAGGGGGGTTGGAGATTCATGATCCTTGAGGTCCCTTCCAACCCTGGCAATTCTGTGATTCTGTGTGATCCCATTCCTCTGGATGGAGGGGGGAAAAAAAGGGCAACAAGTACCAACAGTAACCCATGAGGGATGGAATTTCCCCTAGAGCACGGAAAGCATCTCAGTGGGGTTGCAGAGGTTGTGGGTTTGAGGGACATCTGCTATAAAGGGGGAAAAAAGGTGTTCTCAGGCATGGTCATTAGGGCAGCACAGATTTCCGGTTAGTCTTCATGAAATATTAGTGAACCAAACCCATTTCCTTCCTTTGTTCTCAGAAGAGCATCTCCACACAGGGGAACATCACCTCTGTGCAGGCCCATCTAGAGTTAGAGCTAGACGTGTGGGTCAGGATGGCGGTGAGCAGAGCCCTGCTCCTCCTGGGTGAGTGCAGCCATAGGGTGAGCAGAAGCCCCAAAAAGCCCCACTGATCTTCAGTGAGATGGACGGAGGGCCAAGGAGGCTCCATCTCCAGCCTAGGGTCTATGGGGCGCTTGCTCTTTGCGATGCTTTGGGTTATGCCTGGAGAGGGTTTAGCTCTGTCTGGGGAAGGAGGGATGTTTGTTTATCCCGTGTGGTTGTGGGGATTGGGATGGAGCAGTGGTCACCACATCACATTACAGGCACAGGGCTTCCTCTGTAGGGTGGTCCCAGACATTGCTGGGCAGGAAGGAAACTGAGGTCCAGCAAGGCTGGTGGGTGTGAGCACACTGAGGGTGGGGATGCTGTGCTATGGGGTGGTTGGGGCTGCTAGGAGGTGTTCAGGAACCTGGCAGACCTCACCAAGCCCCAACGAAGGCTCACGTCCAAGGGCAGGCAACTGCAGAAGAGCTGCCTGGGGCTTCTCACCCCATCTTTTCCTCCTCGTTGCAGCTCAAGCCCTCGGCCTTGCTGGTGAGTCTCTGTGTTTGCAGCATCATGATGTATGGGGAGGTGTGCTGGGGCATCCTCTCTTCTTCCCTCATCCCAATGCTTTGGTTCTCTGTCCCAATTTCCCCTCCTGCCCAGTTACAGAGATGGCCCTGCTGACCATGGACCCCCCCTGGAGTGTGATATTCCAAGGGGAAAGTGTCACCCTGCGGTGCCACGGACCCCGTGTGCATGGGCAGCAGCCCACAGCCTGGTACCACAATAACAAACTCCTGGAGCACACAGAAACCAACACGTACAGGATCCAGAATGCCAGGTATAAAGAGAATGGCAGATATGAGTGCCAGAGCTCCGGCTCCACATCCAGCAACTCCATCACCCTGAGCGTCTCCTATGGTGAGTGCTGAGAACTGTTCTGTGCTGTTCTGGACCTGCCCTGGGACAAACACAGCCCGTGCATAAGGGAAGCAGCACTGTTGGCTTTGGGGTATTGTGGGCTGAGCTTTGGGGGGGACCTTCTTGCTTCCCTATCTCAGCAAAGTGCATCTTTTGTTGGAGTGGGTTGGGTTGGAATGGACCCTAAAGGCCACCTCGTTCCAACCCCTGCAATGGGTGAGGCTGCCTTCAATTAGGTCAGGTTGCCCAAAGGCCCATCTATCCCGACCCTGAGCACCCCTAATGATGGAAAATCTATGGTTTCTCATGAGCAGCCCAAGATGTGATTGGCTTTCAGGGTTGCAGTCACACTGCTGCCTCTTTTCATCCATCAGTGCTACCCCCGAAGCCCTTTCCTATAGGGCAGCATTCATCCCCTGGTCTGTGCTGAGGTTTGGGATAACCCCAAGCCAAACGCAGGACCTTCAGCAGAGACCCTTGGGTTCTCTTGCAGACCTGCTGATCCTCCAGGTCCCATCGCATGCAGTGTTTGAAGGGGAGCTGCTGCAGATGAGGTGCCGGGGATGGAAGGCAGGCAGTTTGGCTGCAGTGCGGTACTACAGGGATGGAACTGACATCACCAAACTCTACAACTCAGCAGAGCAGCTCTCCATCCCCCAGGCCAAAACCCACCACAGCGGCAGATATCACTGCAGTGCAGACATGCACTCCTTTTTGTCGTTAAAGAAAAGGGAATCTCAGGGTTTATACGTTTCCGTCAAAGGTAAGAAATCCCCATTAATCTTTGGGTTTTCCATCATCCCTATCTGAGTGCTGCAGGACAAAGGGTGAGGGTTCAGCTCAGCACCTTGCAGCTCATTGCTCATTCTCCCACAGTGGGATTAGGGAGAGAATTTAGGGGGGAAAGGTGAAAGTCATGGGTTGAGATTGATTGGGTCAGCCGTTCTGGTTCCGCTTCTTGTGCACACTCATCTCCTTGCTGGCAGAGCAGGTTCCTCCAAGGAAAATGTGCCCTGACAACTTCCAGGGGAACTTGTATACACCTTTGTATCAAAATCAAGAAGAAAAACCCAATTTCCTTTTCCTTTCCAGAGCTCTTCACCTCCCCAGTGCTGAGCGTAGCCAGCTCAACGGAGCCTCTCGAAGGAAGTCCCCTCAACCTGAGCTGCATCACACAGCTTAGCCCCTACAGACCCCACACTGTCCTCTGGTATCTCTTCTATGGGAACAGCACAGTCCTTCGAGGTCCCACGACCTCCTCTGAGTACCAGGTGCCAACAGTGGGGCTGATGGACACGGGGTTCTACTCCTGTGAGGTGCGCACGGAAAGCTCCAGTGTCCAGAAATGGAGTCCTCAGGTGCCCATCACCATCAAACGTGAGTTTTTGGGGTTCTGGAGAGGAGCAACCCTCGGGTTCTGTCACCTGCAGAGATATGCAGGATGGTTCCATCAATGCCTGCCTCTACCACCACTTCAACGTGTCCCCACTCATCCACTATTTGGGAAAAATAGGCGTTTCATTGGGAGTGTCTACGTTGGAAACCAGTGTTTCTCTTTTCTCCCCCCACATCTCACAGGAGTCCCCATTTCGGGGGTGTCCCTGGATGTTTGGCCCCAGGAGGGACAGGTGATGGAGGGGCAGCGCCTGGTGTTGCACTGCTCCGTGGCCGTGGGCACCGGCTCCATCTCCTTCTCCTGGCACCGAGAGGGCTCTGCAGAAGTCCTTGGGAGGGGCAGAAGCTACGAGATCCCATCGACCCAACAGAGTGACAACGGGCAGTATTACTGCATGGCCTCGAATGGGGACAGCACAGCCCAGAGCCTGCTGGTGAAGGTCACTGTAGTGGGTGAGCAGCATCATGGCATGGTTGGGGCTCACGTGGGTATTGGCACTACGGAGTTGGTGTTAAGGGGACATCAGGGCTGTCCTGGTGCTGCTGAAGTTGGGGGGAGACCCAAAAGTGATCCCCAAAGGGCACCACCAAATGGGATGGCTGCAGAAACAGGGATTTTGCAAGGTCCTCCTGTAGTAGGGTGGGCGTCAGGGCGTTTATTTGTTGGACATCTGAAGGTCTGTGGCTGTGCGCCAGCTCCTGTTGAGGTCTGAGCTGCTGTTAACAGCTGGAAAAAGCTTCAACCCGAGCTGCTCTGTGTAGATTTGCATTGCACATGGCCATGCAATGGCCAGGAGATGGATGCAGGTTTGGGGATGGCGTTTCATCCACGCCCTGCAGCCTTTGCTTGGATCTTGCACCTCTTTCTGCATCTTTCCAGCTGCTGCCACCAGAACCTGGCAATGTCCAGATGGCAGGAGCTGGGAGAAAGGCAGAATCTGAGCTGCTGGGTGCAGGAGTTGGGCAGAACACGCTCAGCACGTGATGCTCTGAACTCCCCCATTCCCCCAACTTTCATATGGTTTTTCACATGAGCCCTGAAGGTTTGTTTGTTTTCCAGGTGTCTCCTCACTTTTCTGCAGCCGTGTCAGAGCACTGCTGCTGCCGGCAGCGTTGGGGACCCTATTGCTGGGGGTGGTTGTTGTCCATGTCCTCATTGCATCAAGCAGAGCCAAAAGGAATGAAGCACCAAACGCATCTGCACCAGCATCAGTCGTGCTCCAGGAGAGGATGTTTGAGGCTGTCCCCGCAAGAGCACCCAGGAAGTGAGCAGAATGAGTGTCCCCATGTCCTTCCCCCAACCTGACCTGTCCATGTTGTAGCAAAGAAATACTTCTCTTCGTTTTACTGTGTACATTGCCCAATAAAGTATTGCAGAGCATGGAGAGTACCAGGCCCTGTGACACTCGCAGTACAACTAAAGACCCCAGCACTCTTCCCCCATCGGTTCGGCACTTCTTTTGAGTCGTCTTCCCCTCCGCACTGAGCCGATAACGCACCCGTTTGGCCTTCCCAGCAGCCCTTTCGTGCCCCCGCGCGCGTCTGATTGGTGCAGCGCTGCAAGATATTTGCATGGCCGCGCCCTTTGGCCACGCCCATCCATGCCGGCCATCCGGAAGTCGCTTTCCGCCTGCTGGAGCCGCTCTGCGCTGCCGCTCTCTATGGTCAGCGGTCCTCCACGTGGCCCTACTTGTACAGCTGTGTTCTGGGGGACCCCTGGAGGCCCACCAGGACCTCCCCGCTGTTTTTGGGGATATCTCCAGGGGTGGGGCACCCACACTGCTCTGGGCAGCAGTGCCAGGGCCTCACTGCCCTCTGGGTAAAGAATTTAAGGTCCCTTCCAACCCAACCCCTTCTATTGTTCCATGGTTCTCTGATCTCTAAGGCCCATTCCAACCCAACTGTGCTGTGATTCCATGGATCTATGATCTTCCGGATCTCTTCCAACCCAACTGTGCTGTCATTCCATGGTTCTGTTGTCTTTAAAGTCCCCTCCAACCCAATCTCTTCTGTATTTCCATGCTTCTACGATCTTTAAAGGTCCCTTCCAAGGGAGGAACGTTATGGAGCTCTTGCAATAGCTGCACATCACTGCTCTGCTGGTGTTGGCTGATTATTCACCCTCTGGAGCCTAGCAGCTGCAGGTGAAGCTGTGCTATCAGTCACTGCAAGTCAAGGCAATGGGATGCAAGTGGCATCAGCAATGCAGGAAAGGGATATCCTGCTCTGCTTCATGCTCTTTGGACCATACTTGGAATGCTGGTCTCACTCTTTGCCATTCAGAAAGCCTGGAGATGGACTGGAGAGGATCCAAAGCAGAACCATAGGATGCTCCAAGGGCTGGTGAGGGGTTGGACTTGTTCAGCTTGGAGAAAAGGCTCGGGAGACCTCATCTGTGTGTCCCAGAATTTGATGTCTGTCTGCAAAGGAGTCAGATGCTCCTCATTTACAAGGAGTCATGCACAAAAAATGGGGGAAATGGGCACCAGTGGCACTGGAGGAGATTCCAGTTGGTCCTAAGAGAACAATTTTGTCACTATGATAACATTCAAACACTGCAACAACTCCCCAGGGACGTGGTGGAAACTCTAATACTTGAGAATTTAAGGTTTGGATACACAAAGTGTTGGATGCTCTGCTATGGGATGTGCTTTTATCACAAGAGATTGGACCAGTTGACCTCTGAGGTCCCCTCCAACCTGAGCTTTGATTTCTCCAATCTCTCTGATTTCTGTAATTTCTATTAAACCTCACAGCGTTGACTCCTGGCATCTCATTACGACCATTCTTTGGGCTGTACCAAAGCATCTCCATTAATGTCATGATCTACAGAGCTGGGAAATGGCAAAAATCTGCTCCTAGCCCCAAAGCTGCTGAGATTTTGATGCTTAGAAAGAGAACTGGGGCCGGGTAGGTTCACCCCACTGGGATAACAATGCTGTGCTTTCCGTGCAGGCATTGCAATCAGCAATGTGCTTTCACACTGTCACACACAACCGAGACAGAAAGTCAATTGTTAGTCACTTTATTGGCAGGAGTTCGTATTTACAACAGAATAATAGGAAGTAGGAAAGAAGCTAGTCATTACAAAGCTCCTCAGTGTTTGCACTGAGGCTTGGGATGGCATCATCCGTCTGCCAGGAAAAAAAAAAAAAGTATATCTGTGTATAAAATCACAGCCATACTAAAAACAGAGATGACTGCTTCGTGCAGAGGATGTAATTTCCAATGCAGCGGTGGTGTTCTTTTCTTCGTCTCAGCTGCCGTGTCTGCAAAGAGGGGAAGAGGCTAGGAAGTGATTCCCATGTCCTCTCATTGTGTGTTGGATGGACTTGAGGCCGTGTGGGAATTCAGAGCCCACCTGGCTGCCAACAGGGTTTGGGCTTTGGGATCGTGGAGTTTCCCTTGCTGGAGGCTGCATGCAGAGCGTTAGATGGATGGGTGCTTTGGGAAACACCCTAAAAGTCCTTTTGGCTTTTTGTTTTGTTTTGTTTTTTTCACAGTTCCTGTGGTGATTCATGCTTCTTTGGCTGTCGTTAGCACAGAGCTGGATGCCCAGAGGTCTGATGTTGGTGGAAAGGTGCTTCAGAGTGCTGCTGCTTTGGGGAGAATTGCATTTTGCTGGCTTAAAGGGGTGCTTGGAGTGAGTGCTTGGCTTTGTACCTTTGGTGCATCATAGCAGGAAGTGCAGGAGGCTGAGGAGGAGGAGCAGAGGCAGATGGCACTGCAGGGGTAATCCCACCGAGTCAAAAAACTCCTGGGAAGTCAATGAAAAGAAATGGGTCAAAATCAGCATGGTTTGGAGCTCTAAAAGTGGTGGCAGAATTCATGCTCTGCCCAACTCATCTACTTTCATGCTGTCCCCTTGTTTAGGCCTTGGGGAAAATAAATGTACCCAAGTGCATCTTTGTTAGGATAATCCCTTTTGGGAGTGTCCCTATGGGGAGCATCCCAGCTGGGAGCATCCCAGTTGAGATGGTCACTACTGGGAGCATCCCAGTTGGGACAGTTTCCATTGGGAGCATCCCAGTTGGGATCATTTCCATTGGGAGCACCATCTTTTCCAAATCCCTTCCCCAAAGCAATATGGTGCACAAAGGGGTGTTCAGGAAGAATAATAGCCCACATTGTGACAACACATCACAGCCGTGGCGTGGATGCCCTCTGCCCAAACACATTTGTGTTGTCCAACAGATGGAAGTCAACGTTTCGAATCCATTTCTCACTGCAGTGGAAGAACCCTTTTTATTTTTTTATTTTTTTAAAGATGAAAAGGAAGTCTGACTCACCTCACCTTCATAATTTGTGTACACTGTGTACACTGTGGGTATTAGTGTGGTGTTGTCATAATAGTATTCTGCAGTTGCATATAAGTAATCACCTGGAATGAAAGCATGGTCCCATGAGCCCATTTTGCATCAACATCCAGTGTAACTCCATTGGCTTGGCAGGATGCAATCTCAGGTGATGATAAGAACTGCTGGGGCCAGAGGAGCTCCAGCAAAACAACTCTGGATTGTCCTTTGAACCCTCTTTCCTACCACAGCCTCCCACCCCACCTCGCTTTTATCACTCAATTTGCACAAAATGAGCCCCAAAGAAAGATTGCTTACTGTAGTGAGATGCGTAGTCATATAATAACTTGGTCATTTCCTCATCTCCTATCTCAGCATTTCCTAAAAACCAAAAAAAGAAACGGTTTGCTTTCCCCCGGCGGAGCTTTGCACAGAGCTCTATGGGATGTGGTTTTGCGGGAACGGTTTCGTTGATTTATTGGCTCTTTGTGCAAAAGTTGCTCCCCCCCCGTGGGACTAACGGATTCCCAATCTGGTCCGTAATTAAATCAAGGACATGGAACAAAAGATATCAAGTTACGGGCTGGCCACGGCATTGCGTTTTCCTGTATTTTAGGAATGGATTTGCAGGAAAGGAGCGGAGTAATGGGGGCGGTGGAGCTCATCCCCACTGCCCACATCCATTCTGGGTGCCCTCGGGGTGCTGTGAGCGCTCACCTGGCCAATTGGGAATGAACAATTTGACTCTATCACGTCAAGGTTGCATCGGGGTCGGTAGCACCCATGGGTGCCCCTCTCTGCCCCCAGCCTCCCCAGCCTGGACCCAATGATTCTCAGCATCGCATCCCCACCATTAAGGAGCACGAGGACTCTGGAGCTCATTTCCCTGCTTCTAAAGCCCCTCACATCCCACCCATCTCCAGTTTTTGGAGCTCGGTGTCACCTCATACCCAGCCAGCCAACATCCTATGGCCATGGGAAAAGCTCTGCTCCTTTTGGCTCCAGTTGGCTAAACTCCCAGCACTTTCTCCCCACGCATTCTGAGAAAGCTATTTGCTGTATTTACGCTGGAGCCACGCTAAAGATAATACGGGAAATAATACGGGAGTCACAGCGAGGAGCTTTCATCCAAAAATCCCATTTAACCCTTCAAAGGACGCTCAGCTCCATTCCTTTGCTGCTTGGGAAGCAGGAGCAGCTCCGGGTGCTGTCACTGCCCAACTTGATTCCCAAAGTTCTGCCTTCCCAAAGCACAACTGGAGCAAACCTGCTTTTTCCCTCGCCCCCTTCGTATCTCTCTTACAGCTCTCAGCTGTATAGGGAGAATTAATTCGAGTACAACATAGAAAGCATTGCAATTTATCAAACTTTGAGCACACGCTTTGCTGTGACCCGGAACTCCCAGCTGTTCTCAGGTTGCTTTTGCTCCCCACTTGCTGAGAAAACACCCCCAAAACCCTTCAGCCTTACACAGGATCTCAACATCACAACCACCCCAAGCCGCAAAGCGGAGAATAGGAAGAAGAAGAAGAAGAAAAAAAAAAAGTGGCTTTTTACCCAAGGTAAAATGAAGAAGGATGAGTGACGCCCATACAAAGTTCATCATCCTATACGTCCTGGCGTCGCCTTCGGACGCTGCTCCGCACTGCTCAGTTCCTTCAGACGTCCCAGAGCTGCAGCACAGAGGCAGGAAATGACACTGAGGGGGGTTGGACGACCTGCCCCCACACTGGGATATAGGATGTGGAACACCAGGACCCCCACACCACGCAGGGTCAGGTTGGGCTATGGGCTGTGCTGCTGAGATCTGATGCTTTTGGGGCAGGAGCTCTCAGATTTTGGTTCCCCCTCCCTTCAACTCTTTGGGGATTTTTTTTTTTTTTTTTTCCCAGCTGTCATTTTGCTTTCTGCCTCAGTTTCCCTATCAGAAAGAAGAAACGTGAACAGCTGCAGGGTGAGGTTATCTGAGTCCAACAGCACAGAGGAATACCCTATTTTGGGGAGGCACTTTGCGCATCCGCACACGTGGTGATCAGATAAGTATTGGCATCAGTTCCTTTTTCCCCTCTCGTCTCTAAAAACAAAAAC